ATCTAGGAGGGAGGGGCTAGTGGTACAAAAGGTAATAACTGTGGGGGATGGACTGGTAGGAGGAGAAGATGATTCCATTATTAGCTGAGGGCAGGATAGGCTTCCCTGAAGAGAGAGGTTTTCAGAGATCGCCTAAAAGTGAGCAGAGTAGGCGATAGTCTGATAAATTGGGGTACAGAGTTCCAGGGGATGGGGGAAGCTCTGGGGAAGTCCTGGAGACGGGCATGGGAGGAGGAGACAAGGGAGCTAGAGAGCAGGAGGTTGTGCGAGGAGCGAAGAGGAGGGTTTGGGTGATATTTGGAGACAAGATCGGTGATGTAATTTGGGGCGGAGTTATAAATGGTTTTATATGTTATTGTTAATGTTTTGAATTTTATCCGTTGGGCAATGGGAAGCCAGTGGAGGGATTGGCAGAGAGGGGTGGCAGATATGGAACGGTTAGTATATACAGTATAACGCCTCTGGTTACATTGTGGCATCATTCTTTTCATATAACAAGCTTCTTTCATTGGACAGGTATACTGGCATTCCAGCGCACACATTATGGGAGAAGCTATGGAACGCGTGTATGGTGGATGCCTATGTTATGGCCCTCCGATTGAAAATGGATTTTATTATGACATGTTTCTGGAAGAAGGGTAAGATCACTCTCATCTTCCTTCTTTCTACATCAGGAAAGGAACTTGTTTACTCCATGAATTGGCCTTATAAGTTTAGCATTTGTCTGAATAGCAGATTACACCCTTCTTTGCCTATCTATAGGTGGGCAGCACAGTGGCTAAATGGTTAGCACTTCCACCTGGCAGTACTAGGGTTGTCTGTTCAAATCCCAACCACGGCACCACCTGCCTGGAGTTTGCATGTTCTCCCTGTGCCTGCGTGGGTTTCCTCTGGGTACTCTGGTTTCCTCCCACACTCCAAAGACATGCTGGTAGGTTAATTAGATCCTGTCTAAATTGGCCCTAGTATGTGTATGTATTAATGTGAGTTGGGGGGGGTAGGGAGAAAAGGGGTTCAGCTGCAACTGCCCTGGGTCAAACGGTTCAAAATAATCCGAGTAATAGTCAGAGGTCCCGTATAGCAATCTAGGTTAACATTTTAAAGTTAGGTATCAATCTACGACCCCCTGAAATGGAAGGACCCTAATACTCCTTCCATCACACTCTGGTTTCGTAAAATAAAGAGCATGAATCGCATGGAAGATTCAGTCCTTTGGGTTCAAAAGAAACATGAAACATATAAAAAAAATACCTGGAACTATATATCTTCTCTGAAGAAGGGAAGGACCTATCAGCCAGAGATCACCTCCCCCGGCTGGAGAAGCTTCACTTATTTCGCTTGTTTTCACCAGAGGACTTTTCTTTCCCTCTAGGGTTGCTTTAAGCTGCTTACAAACAGGGAAAATTTAAATGATACGTGAGAGCATGAAAAATTGTGTCCTGCAGTACTTTGGCAAGCCATAGACTATTTTCTTTCCTTCCACCACAGTAATCCCTCCCCACAGCGCTGTTGTGTCCTGCCGGTGGGGAGCCTTCCTGGCTGGGAGAACAGTGATTACTGCTGGCGGCTATAGCCATTGGCAGTAATTGCATGTAAAAAATGCAACAGGCTGGTTGTACCCAAGTCAATCGATGGATCGACTTGGGTACAACCAGCTTGCACATGGATGGATTGAATCACGTCTGGTCCCTGCTGAACAGCATTTTGCATTTTTGACATTTTTTTTTTATGCACTTTGCATTTTTTTTTTTTTTTTTTTGGTGGGCCAATTGGAAAGTATTGAGTGCTACTTTGATGCCACTTTACACTCTCTGGACTCAGTCACATGACAGTTGCATCAAATTAGTGCAGGAACCTTTTCAAAGTCGCAGCAACTTTTAAATCGCATAGATTTGAAGGGGATCCATTGCAATCAATAGGCTGCAACTTGCCATGCGACTGTGTCCAAAGTCACGTTAGGGTTAAGCCCTGTATTCACACTGCATCAGACTGTGAAATCATGTGACTTCACAACCATTGATCAGTGCGATTTCAGGTGCGACTTTCCTGACATCTGTGCGATTCCATGCAGAGATTTCTAAGTAAGTCACACCTGAAATCATATAAAATAGTGCAGAAACCTCTTTTTTTCAAATCGGTGTGGCACCGCAAAGTCGGAGTCGCACCAGTTTGATCAGTTCCATTGCTGACAATAGGGTGCGACTTGGAGCTGTCAAGTCGCACCGACGTGAACCAGCACTAAATGTTGGGGTTAAGGGCTAGAGGTAAGGGTTGGAGCACTAACTCTCAGTGATTTTAAAAAGGTTCCTGCTCCACTTTGATGTGACTTGAGCACCAGAAAGTGTAAAGTCGCGCTCAATACTTTCCTATTAGCCAAAAAAAAACCACACATAAAAAATGCAACACTTGCATTTTTTGTGTGTCCCATTGCAATAGCACCAAAAACACGATCTGCTGCGGGGAAAAAAAGATCCCGGGCGGCACAGTGGTTAGCACGTCTGCCTTGCAGTAAATGGGTCATGGGTTCAATTCCCGACCATGGCGCCTCCTGCATGGAGTTTGTATGTTCTCCCTGTGCTTGCGTGGGTTTCCTCGGGGTACTCCAGTTTTTCTACCACACTCCAAAGACATGCTGGTAGGTTAATTGGATCCTGTCTAAATTGTCCCTAGTATGTGTATATATGAATGTGAGTTAGGGACCTTAGATTGTACACCCCTTGAGGGTTAGGGACTGATGTGAATGTACAATATATACTGTATGTAAAGCACTGCGTAAATTGACAGCGCTATATAAGTACCTGAAATAAATAATAAAAAAATAAATCCCTGACCCTTTCCAAAAAACCGCAGTGGCTGAAAACAGATGTAAACGTGTCCCATAGAAAACCATACAAATGGACTGTAGTGTGCTTCTGCAAAACGCACTACAAAATGCATAGGTGTGAACCAAGGGTAAGAGAGCATTGGATACATCTCCAGCTATTGTAGAAGCCCTCTTTATAGGAGGAAACTTGCATTGAACAAAAAAACGAGAAAAGAGAAAAAAAAACTTCCAGGGCCATTGATTTCCTCAGATACAAAGGTAATTGCTTTATGCAGCATTCATGAGATTCATCAGCCACATGCAGACTCATTCAGCCTTCATAAAAAGCGATGAATGCTCTGCAGAGTTCAGTGCCCCCGGGGTGCTGCAGGATTTGAAGGTAAGTGGGGTCATTTTAATGTTGTGGGGTATTTTGTTGTTAAATATGTAAAACAGCCTTGCAATGATTCTCTTAACCACTTGCCCCCCCAGAGGATTTACCCCCCCCCCCCCTTCCTGAGCAGGTCATTTTTTGTGACACGGTGCTGCGTTACTGACAATTGCGCGGTCATGCAAAACTGCACCCAAATAAAATTTGTCCTTTTTTTCCCACAAATAGAGCTTTTTTTTGGTGGTATTTGATCGCCTCTGCGTTTTTTTTTTTTTTTTTTGCTCTATAAACAAAAAAAGACTGACAATTTAATAGCAAAAAGTCAAAAATATTGTTTTTTTTTTCCTCAAAACATGTCCAGTAAAAAAAATGTAAGCAAATTTCATCATAAATTTAGGCCAAAATGTATTCTGCTGCATGTCTTTACTAAACAAAGTCCCAAAATGTGTAACTTAATTGGATTACGTGAAAGTTATAGCATTTACAAATGTCGGTGTATATACTGGAATGTTTTTTTTTTTTTTAATTTTTATACTAGTAATGGCGGCAATCGGCGACTTATAGCGGGATTGTGGTGGGCATTCTGACACTGGGGAGGAACTGTCACTGACATCCCCAGTGACACCAATACAGTGATCAGTGCTAAAAAAAAATCACTGACACTGTACTAATGGTACTGGGCAGGAAGGGGTTAACATCTGGGGCGATCAAAGGGTTAACTGTGTGCTGTGTATGTTTCACATTATGTGCTGTGTGTGTTTCACTGTGTCAGCATATTGTATTGTTCTTACATAGCAGAGCAATAAAAAAACAAACAGTGTGCAGGAATTGATAGGGTAGAGATCTGTATTAACTTACAGACCTCTCCCCCGTCAGTGATACTCGGCGATCGCCGGGTGTTGATGGGGAATCACCAGGTGGGACCCAGTGATTGACAGCTGAAGCTGCCATTGGAGGCGGGGGTAGGAGGCGCGTGTGCGCCCCCTACCTGTAGATGCAAAACCATGTGTGTATATATACCTGATTTTGTGCAGCCCTTCCACCCTGTAGCTGTATTTCTGCTATAGGGCGGCGGGCAAGCAGTTAAAAATGACTGTAAAGCTTGTTTTTTTTTTTTTTTAAGTTAAAATAACAAACTTGTCATATTTACCTTCTCTGTGTAATAGTTTTGCACAGAGCAGCCCCGATCCTCCTCTTCTGGGTTCCCTGCTGACGCTCCTCCCACCTGATGAGTTCCTCCATAGCAAACCATTTGCTATGGGGGAACTCATGTGGGCTCGCTCCTAAGCGAAATCAGGCTCAGGTAATTATAATGGCGGACTGGGGGAAGAGCAGACCACTGAAGGTGTTTTTTTTTTTTTTTTTTTTCTTACCTTAATGCAGAGAATGCATAAAGGTAAAAGACCTTCTAGCTTTACTTCCACATTAAGCCTGGGTTCACATATATGCGGTGCAGTCAATCGCAGGTGATTCGCACAGAAACCGCACCGCATTCCTATGCAAATCACATGCGATTTGCGTGCTGTGCAATCGGAGCCATACATTATGTATGGCTCTAATCGCACTGCACCTGCACCAAAAAACGTGCAGGACCCTTTTTTGGGTCCACACTAGAATCGCATCGAATAGGTATTCACAGCTATGCGATCCGATTCTGTACATCGTAACGCGTTTTGCGGACCGCTTTCAGAGTGTTAACATACACGCCGGCAGCGGTTCGCATGAACGGGGTGCGATTCTGATGAGGTGCGGAATTCACACTGAAAACGCTGCGGATTCCACACCTCGTCGATGTAAACCAGGGCTATGCAAAATCCTCTTCCTGATGGTCAATCTCAGATCAATATCCTCCGGTCTATATGTAGCATTATGCATCGTCTGCCTTTGTTTAACACCTTGTCCTGTGTTTCCATCAGAGGGGTATCCAGCAATGACTTCACCGGTTTGGAAAATCTGTGTAAAAAGATTATGAAGGAGAAGCAGCAGTTTGAGAGGTTGGAGATCTCCAAAGAAACTCTTCTAGAGATGTTTAAGGTAACAGTGGAGATGATGGAGATCTGTGTCTTTAGAGGTGTATTGGTGGTTCCAGGAGCAGAGTGCCTGTCAGTGCTGGGGATCACCGATCTGGTCTGTGGAGCCAGCAGTTTTGTCCAACTTGGCCAATCTACATTTTTTTGGCAAGTCAATTTTTTTTTTTATTTTTTTTTTTACTATATATCTCAGAATTTGCAGATTCTTGGATCTAGTCGTCATAAACTGCATGATTCTCTGCAGATCATTCAAGCACATATTTATCTATAGCCAAGACTTTTTTTTTTTTTTTTTTTTATTTTGGATAAAATATGGAGTGTTTAAAACCCAAGCAATTTTTTTTTCCTATCTGTGGCTCATTGGGGAGGTTTTGCTCAGCTTGCTGTACACACAAAAGAATGTGAGAATCGTCCAAATGGAGGAATAACCAGGGTCATCATCTGAACAAGTGACCCCCATTAGAATATACCTGTGCCGGAGGCAACTCCAAATTTTAGATATTTAATTACATTCTCACCTGGTAATATTGTTTACCCAAGAAAAAAAGATTTATTTATTTCAGGTACTTATATAGTGCTGTCAATTTACGCAGCACTTTTACATATATATTGTACATTCACATCAGTCTCTAACCCTCAAGGGGTGCACAATCTAAGGTCCCTAACTTACATTCATACACATACTAGGGCCAATTTAGGCAGGAACCAATTAACCTACCAGCATGTCTTTGGAGTGTGGGAGGAAACCGGAGTACCCGGAGGAAACCCACGCAGGCACAGGGAGAACATGCAAACTCCAGGCAGGAGGTGCCGTGCCTGGGATTCGAACCAACGACCCTAGTACTGCCAGGCGGAAGTGCTAACCATTTAGCCACTGTGCTGCCTTTGACTTTAGGTACACTTTTTGTTCACACTAGCAGTTGGGAAGGCAGAGCAGGGTGGTAAAAAACAGCGGTTGAGCTCTGTCTCTACACCCCTCCAACCGCTTGCCATTTAGATGCAGAGGCAGCTGCCAGGAGTGTACATATGCCACAGCTGAGATGCTTTGCAGCCATGGCAAAATTGTTTTCACTGTTGCTTTTGGATTTCAAGTGAATGGGACCGCACTGCAGTGCACATGGTTGTATTGCACTAGTTCAGGATTCAATGAGTTAAAGTAGGCAGTACATCCCTCCTGACTGCCTATCAAATGCTCTATAAAGAGCGATCCAAATGTGGATCACTCTTCAGCAACACTAATGTGAAAGAGCCCTAAGTCACAGTTTGCTGATAAAGGTTCTCCCAATCTCTAATAGAGATTCACCCAATCACGGATCGTTGTACTTTTTATTATGAAATCCTCTGTCTATGTCCTCTAGACCTAAATGAGCCATTAACCTTTGCAGTGTGGGTGCAGCCCCTCTGCAAGGGATTGGTTTTTTTTTTTTTTTTTTACGTTTCTCAGAGTTGGACTTTAAGGAAAAGCATTTCAGGAGAAAACATCCGACTTTTGGTACATGTGAACCGCTGCCTCTACGGCTTCTGTCGGAAGTTCACGCTGGAAAACCAGCATTCGATAAGTGCTGGCAGCCAATGGCTGCAAGTGCTGATCAGTATATTCTGGGGGGGTTGGAGAGAGCCCTGTCAGAATATAATAGGCGATCCCTGAAAACACATCTCTTCAGGGAAGCCTATCCCGCCTCCAACTAATTGAGCTTTTATCACTTCCAACAGCTCATTTTCCACAATTATAACCGTTTGTACCACTTGCTGCGCCCTGATAGATCTTATGAGCAGGGCCCTCTTATCCCTCTTGTATTTTATTGTATTGTAATTGTACTGTCTCCCATTATATTGTAAAGCGCTGAGCAAACGTTGGCGCCATATAAATCCTCTATATAATAATAATAATAATGACAGCACAGCGGGAAGGATCTGTTTTGATGCGAGGATCTGTCAGTTTTTTATCGTTCAACCTTCTGGTTGAACAACAAAAAAACTAAATGTACGTACTTCGCTGTATTCCGTAGAAGAATGTGATGGTCTCTGCAGGCCCTTAATTCAGTAATAGGGAAATGATTTAGGGGATTTGTGCTAAACAGCAACTGCCTCCTGTTCAGGATATAGATGACTGAATAGACTGCTTAGTATGGACTACACAAGGCAGTTCTGTGGAGTTTAACGGGTGCGGTAACATTGTCAATACACCATGTAATGGAGATGTGATCGTTACATTCCTGTTATTGAACAACAATTACATTTATAATGAGGTGAGCAAGAAGGAAAAAAAAAACATTTGGCAGTATAGCTTCTGATAACAAGAGAGATGGAGGACTGCATAGGCTAACCTGTACTTAATATTGGTAAATCCAGTAAATATGGTCGCAGAATGGACCACGGAGGACAGAGAAATAGTCTGCATGACCCCGCCACATTCTACAATCAGGAATAAACCCACTACTCTACTTATTTAATCATAGCAATTCATGATTTATACATTCTTTCAGTATAGGAAGGCCGCACTGTACATTATAGAACTTGTATCCCCTACGGCAGCCATTCATGGATTGAAATTTTTCCTGTTCAGCAGCTATGCATGAGCAGGCTGTTTGTGAAGAAGTTGATCTACCAATCAACTTTTGTACAATCAGCCTGTCCCACTATAGACAGCAACACTGATCAGTATGCTCTGTTGGTGGGGAAGGCTCCCCGCCTGTCTAACACAATTGCACAGCGGGAGTAATTCCCCCATCAGCATTGAATGCGTGGATGGAGGAATCAGTTCTTCTTTTTTTTTTTTTTGTTCAACCCACTGGCTTTAATGAAAAAAAGGATTAATGTATGGCCAGCTTTACATGAGTAACTAGTCCTGTAATTATATGATTATCCAAGGATTATTGGTATTGGATTTGAAGTAAAGCAGATCAGATGTCTTTTTTTTTGGGGGGGGGGGGCACCCTCTGCTTGGTAAACCAATTCTAAGAGAAATATGAAAGACACCATTGTAGACCAGAAAATGCTGGTTGCCTGGCTCTTTCAGGCCAGTTTGTTCCATTGACCCAGAACAAGCATGCAGCAAGTGAAGTTTATTCTAGAAACAAATCTCAACCACCCCAATCTGTAACTGGCCTATGCAACAAGGAGCACATGGAAGGGTGACACATGTCAAAAAAAACAACAAACATAACTTCCCAGCTCACTTACCAGCCAACCTGCAACAAACTAATTACCCTAACAGTTCATGTTAAAACAAGAGGTTTAGTTTGCTCACATTTGCAAATATGTGTGTAAGCAGCAGAGGCCACTTTGCGGCACTCCAGTATATCTGCAGGCCTAACTCTATAAATTTTGAGAGCCTCAAAAGCAGAATCACATATATAATAATGGACAGAGCAGGTGCGCCTGGAGGGAGCCCACCCCTTAAAGGCATAGGGACGCTGGGTGTCAGGTGCGTCCATCCTTAAAGGCATAGGGACGCACCTGACACCCAGCATACAGCACAAATGGCAGCGAAGGTATCCAGTGCGTCCCCTCACCAATTCACCAACAGTACAAACAAATGGCAACCACCCTTATCTGTAACTGGCCGATGCGGGTAGGAGCACATGGAAGGTCGATGCATGCCAAAAAGCTGTTTAATACAGTTTTTGTGATTAAAAAATGAAAACAAAATTAACTAAAATCGATATATATTTATATATTTTTTTTTTTTACTATGCATCCTCAAAACCCCAAACCTACAGCTTATCCTGGGAAAATTAAAAAGGACCTGTCTGCTTTGGTGTGTACCATGGTATGTCACACGGTAACTTTCCTTTTAAAAGGGCTGCCAGCACTTCAGAGCGGATAGGAAAACACATACTTGCTGTATTTGTTGTGACACATGGCATTGCAATGCTCAGTATTGTGTACTGGCATGGTTCAGTTTGCTGCAGCATTGGTGCCTTGAGGTACTATTTAAAACACATGGCACTACAGTGCAGCAATGTACAATAGGGCATGGGTGTCAAACTGGAGGCCCTCCAGCTGTTGCCAAACTACCAATCCCATGAGGCATTGCAAGATTGACAGTTACAAGCATGACTCCCAAAGGCAGAGGCATGATGGGACTTGTAGTTTCACAACAGCTGGAGAGCTGCCAGTTTGACACCCCTGCAATAGGGTAAGTCACCAAAAGGCATAGTTGAGAATCCATCCTAATGAAGCATGATGCAATTTTCTTCCACTGGGCAAAAAAATTCTTCCGGATTCTCTAAGACAGTCAGATATTCCCTAAATCCTCATTCTACAATGTCATTTATTGTTTTACAAGCCATTTATGCTTTGTGCATTCGGAAAGTTGGTGTGTCAGAAACATTGACGCCATTAGACCAAGGTGCCGGCAACAGAACTGATATTATTAGGACAGTAACAGAGGTTTCTGTGCTTTCTTTAGGAAAGTTTATTTCAGCTGTCCATAAACAGGAGACTAGAGTCCATTTGATGTCTTTCTTTGTGATGTAGGATTGCTGATCCTTATGGAGATGCGTTATAGCGCACTGGGTGGTTTACGGTCCTAGAGGCTACTCACCAGGAACAGGTGGGGTCTTGCCAGACCCCCAGAGGAGTTTATTGAAGTTTTGAAAGATTGGCAGCACCAAAACAGCTTGCATGGACCTTTTTAAATGATCTTTACTTTGTAAAAACCAATACGTTTTTGGCACTCGGCACCCCCCCTTCATCAGGACTAAAATCCAGATAATTTTGGCACCTGGATTGGAACAGTGAGTCAAATCAAAGTGCCTACATTATCTGGTTTTTAGCCCTGATAAAGGGGCAGTGCTGAGCCCCTGAAACACATTGGATGTTACAAAATATAAATCTTTTAAAATGTCTATACAAGCTGGTGTGGCACTCCCATAGTTTAATGTCTATAGCAGTGTTTCTCAGACTTTTTTCAGTCAAGGCACCCTTTAAAATTATGGACAGTCCCGAGGCACCCTTTAAATTTATGGACAGTCCCGAGGCACCCTTTAAATTTATGGACAGTCCCGAGGCACCCTTTAAATTTATGGACAGTCCCGAGGCACCCTTTAAAATTATGGAGAGTCTTGAGGCACCCTATTCTAACATGGGGTGCCTCTAGACTATCCATAATTTTAAAAGGGCACCCCATTCTAAAATGTGAAAAACTATTCTAATACTTTTATATAACACAGCCAGCAATATCCACACATGTAGGACACCCAACTTTAGAGGCACTGGTACTGACTAGTATACTGATGTTTCTCTTCTCCCTCAGTTTTTCTCCATCACTGAGCTAATATGACCCCAACACTGATGGAGAGGGACAGGGGAGGGTCAAACTAGGATGCTGTGCAGGCAACTGATATCTTCCTTATCAACTGATGATGTCATTGGTTGTCAGGACGCCGGAGGCTAGAAGGTCATAATGGTGCACAATGAAAACCTGTGGTTTTGTGTAACTAAAAGGCAGGCTTGTTCCACCCGCTGGCTTGTATACAAGTTTTGGGCAATTTTTAGACATTTTGCCAAGGCGCCCCTGAAGAAACCTCAAGGCACCCCGAGGCGCCTGGGCACCCTTGTTGAGAAAGGCTGGTCTAGAGCAGCGTTTTTCAACCACTGTGCCGCGGCACACTAGTGTGCCGTGAGATATTGTCTGGTGTGCCGTGGGAAAAATTGCAATTTCATCCGTAACATAGACCTTTTAATCCGGCCCGCGGAGCGTGATACTGTCAGGATGATCTGTCCCCCTCGACGTATCTGCGCATGTGCCGGAGATCGCCGATCGGCTGCTAATGCCTGAAACTGGCACATGCGCAGATACTTAGAGGTGGACAGATCCTCATAGGAGACAGATTTTCATGCTACACCGGAACGGCGCGGGAAGACGGCGAGAGGAACGCGCGGAGCAAAGGTAAGTGAATTGACACAGGGGGGGCTTGGGGACTTAATATGGGGGATGAATTACTATGGGGGATGAATTACTATGGGGGATGAATTACTATGGGGGATGAATTACTATGGGGGATGAATTACTATATGGGGGATGAATTACTATATGGGGGATGAATTACTATGGGGGATGAATTACTATATGGGGGATGAATTACTATATGGGGGATGAAATACTATGGGGGATGAATTTACTATATGGGGGATGAATTACTATATGGGGGATGAATTACTATATGGGGGATGAATTACTATATGGGGGATGAATTACTATAGGGGGGATGAATTACTATAGGGGGGATGAATTACTATATGGGGGGTGAATTACTATGGGGGGTGAATTACTATGGGGGATGAATTACTATATGGGGGATGAATTACTATGGGGGATGAATTACTATGGGGGATGAATTACTATATGGGGGATGAATTACTATATGGGCAGATGAATTACTATGGGGGATGAATTACTATGGGGGATGAATTACTATGGGGGGATGAATTACTATATGGGGGATGAATTACTATATGGGGGATGAATTACTATATGGGGGATGAATTACTATGGGGGATGAATTGCTATATGGGGGATGAATTACTATATGGGGGATGAATTACTATATGGGGGATGAATTACTATTGGGGATGAATTACTATGGGGGATGAATTACTATATGGGGGATTAATTACTATGGGGGATGAATTACTATATGGGGGATGAATTACTATGGGGGATGAATTACTATATGGGGGATTAATTACTATGCTTACTATGGGGGAATATTACTATACTTACTATGGATGACACATACACATCATTCATCTACTCTTGGTCCGGCCCCCGGGTCCAATTATAAAATACTTTATTATTTCATAATAAAGTAATTATATAAAATAATTTCTTTGTGTTTGATTCCTATTCAAGAGAATTACTTTATATATAGTCAATATAGGCACAGAGGTAAATTTTTTTTAACATTTTCTAATGGTGGTGTGCCTCGTGATTTTTTTTCATGAAAAAAGTGTGCCTTTGCACAAAAAAGGTTGAAAAACACTGGTCTAGAGTAACACTGCCACACTGCCACGCGGCTGCTCTGATTAATTGAACGCACAGCAAAATCTTGTTCTTTCGCTATTTTTCCCCTCTTGCTGGGCGTGGCCTTGTGGCACCTCTTGCTCCCCCCTCCACAGTCCTCAAAGTCACAGCTATCATCTTTCATAATAATGTCCATTTTTTAAAAATGTTTTTCTTTGCTCTTTTAGTACAACAAGTTCAAATGCAGAATCTTAAATGAGAAAGTGGACACTCCAACCACCACAGTATACAGGTACACAGTTGTGATTTTATCTTGCTGGTTGATGCCTCATTAAGATAGCAGGAAACATTGACACTAGCACATCCATCTTAAAGTGGCAATAAACCCAAATACAAAAATGTAATGTATTGCAGCTTACCAGTCTCTAAATGTGATGTCTGCATTAGTTTTCTTTTTTTTTATGCTTTTATTTCTTGTATTTTCACCTGGTGATCCTACCAGTAGCACACATTTGTCTCACGCTGGATCAGGGAGCAACAGAGACATCTCTGGACAACAACATTGTCAGTCTGGTGGGAGGGAAGTGTTGGATATACTAGCAGATTTGGATGGGCTTGGCTAATAAAGTGGGATTAAACTTGCTTGATACAATGTAGGTGAGAGTAAGGTAACAGCTGTCAGATGTCTGGGGTGGGTTTTTGGGTGGGGAGGCAGAAAAAAGGGGAGGGGGGGCTGGAGTCTTTGAAATTGGGGGCTAGTGTAGGGGCTAAATTCCCTGATTGGTATTGTTTTCCAGTGTAGCAAGGGAGGGGCAGTTTGTAGAGTAATTATATGTCCTTAATGCAGGCCATAGACGGGTCGTTTATCGGCCGACTTTTCGCCCGCATGAAAAATCAGCCGATATTCATGCCGTTAGTGGGGCTAGCCCGTCGGCCGTTTTTCTCCTCATTTATTTTTATTGGTCATGATGGAAAATCCATGAAAAATGGCTGTTTTACGTGGACATTGGGGGCAGCATCAGCAACGGGGCCGACCGATTTTTTTTGTTGGTCGGCCGAAAATTCGGCCAATAAACGGCCCGTCTATGGCCTTCCTAATAGGAAAGTGAAGAATGGTTAACCACTCTTATCAGCAATGAGGTGGTGGCTGATTATTTCCCTACTGCCATTTATGAACACCATTGGATAAGACAGCATTGGGGGTCTGTTGCACTGATTAATGGCTATGAACAAAGCTGTCATTCGATCAGCTGGTTCATTAACAATCCTAATGGCTTAGTACCATGTAATAATTGAGATAACCAATCACAGTGATCACAAATTTGAACTTACCAGGGACAGTGAGCATAACAGGGTTTGGGTGGAATTGGTAGGTTGCTGGGAGGGCCTAGCTGGGAAAGCATATTGCTCAGGCGAAGCAATAATTAACTGTGCCCAATAATTGACTGCGGGCCATCAGTATCTGTGCAGCCCTTACTTCGAATGTGACTTTTTGTGATAAAACTTGTTTTTTTTTATTAAACTCTGTGGGGATTGCAGAAGGTCACAGTGCTCAGGTGATTGCCTTGCAGGCAGCTACAAATATTCTTGAGGAATTGCAAAGTGGCGAACAAGCCATTTCCCAGCACAGGGCATTCTACCTATGCTTTCCAGGGCTAGCTGGGTGCAGGCCAGGGTGGATTTGATTTAAATCAAACTGATTTAAATCACGATTTAAATCACTAGTCAGTAAGGCTTGATTTAAATCCTAGTTTTCTACATAAAGACTAATTCTTGCTGGTATAACTTTAATATGCAAGTAGATGAAGATTTTTTAGAATAATAACTTTTCATATTAGTTTTTTTATCCCCAGTTTAATAGGTTAATCATTCATATTTGGACAACTTTTCTGTTGTACTTAGGAAGGAGAAAAATAATCTTTACCTTAATAATAACAATTTAAATAGATTTATTCAACTGAAACAATAACATTCCAGCATATGTTATTTGCTTAAACATCCATGTTTGTAACTAATTTGGCTAAACAAAATATATATATTTTAAGAAACTTAGACTGTCAGCCCCTTCCTCCTCACACTTAGTTTCAATTTCTTCTTGTGCAGATCTATTCCACTCCAAACAATCAGAAAAATATTGTTTCTATTCTATTCACTGAACTTCTTGAAACTTAGCAGTGAAGGGGTTGATTCTGTATTCATAGGTTTGTAGAAGTTAGGATGAAGGTCTTTTTCTTAACTCTGTTCATGTTATAACATTTTTTGCTGTGAAGAAGAGGCATGTGATCTCCGCTGAGTCAAATTCAGGTTTGAGAACTGCAAAAGTAAACCAAGCATCTGTGATAATATCTTGTAGGCAGAGAAACTGCCCAATAATCTTACAAAAACCTCTGGAAGAGCATGACATTGTGAATGGAATTTAGATTTTTATTGATTATTTGTATTTTATAATTACTTTTAATTATTTTTTTTTTTTATTTTTAAAAATTAATGGGATTTATTTACCAAAAAAATTAAACATATACAGCCTAATTCTACATAATTAAAAAAACTAATCTTTATTTCATGATGGAATAACCTTTGGATGGTAATATATTTTCCGCAAAAAGCATTTTATTCAAAAAAAAATCCGATTTAAATTAAAAAAAAATCCAATTTTTTTGATTTTTTTTTTTAAAAAAAATCATTGATTTTTTATCCACCCTGGTGCAGGCAAATGTTCCCAAACTTGAGCAAAGACTTTTCAATTGCACTGAAAGATCACATGCTGATTAGTGTATTAGTTCTTCCCTCGACATTACATACACTTCTAATATATGGTTATAGGACCCTTCTGCAGAGCTTCCAAAGCAAAGTATTTGGGACTGTAACTATACATTGCACTTCAGCTCTTTCATATCCTGGATTATTATTGGAAACCTGGAATGGGAGAAGGAGATGTCTCCTGGTTGCGTGTTGGCATGCTGATCCTTGTACTTCACTACTGACTTGCAGACATGTCATTAAGGACTTTTTCCTTTTTTTATCACTTTCCTGATCTGTGTCATTATTCTGGGTTAATGACTGAAAGTGCTGAAGCTAGAGGGGCAGCAAAACAGTCAGCCAACTGGCATTTTTAGCTGATCAGCAGTGGAAACGCCTATTTTTTTTTTTTTATGAAAGGCTTACTCTGAGAAAATTTTTAGTTCTGCTTTATCGGCACTAAAGTGTGTGTGTACGTGTTACATAAATTTTGTGAAAACAAATCTTTACTATTTTTTTCATTCTCAGATGTGGCCCCTTAATCGATCTTTGCAGAGGACCCCATGTGAGGCATACTGGAAAAATTAAGGCTTTCAAGATACACAAGGTACCAGACATTTATAATCCGTCATGGAAATACAACCTTACCTACAGACTTTAGTTGTATTCAGGGGTGGACTGACCATTCGGGCACTGCCCGGGGTCCCCATGAAATGCCCCTGGTACCTTTTTTATAGGCTTTTTTTGGGTGTGTTTTGAGTGTGGGCAAGGACACGGGTCCCATGATCACCTATTGCCCAGGGACCCCTTGAGTTGTCAGTCCACTCCTGGTTGTATTACCCCTATTTTACAGAACAACTTCAGGAGGGCAGCTGTTTGGCATAGGACCAAATAGTTCATATAACTTTATTTCAAGTACTTATATAGCGCCGTCAATTTACGCAGCGCTTTACATATATATTGTACATACACATCAGTCCCTAACCCTCAAGGGACGTACAATCTAAGGTCCCTAACTCACATTCATACACATACTAGGGCCAATTTAGACAGGATCCAATTAACCTACCAGCATGTCTTTGGAGTGTGGGAGGAAACCGGAGGAAACCCACGCAGGCACAGGGAGAACTCCAGGCAGGAGGTCCCGTGGCTGGGATTCGAACCACCAACCCTAGTACTGCCTGGCGGAATTGATAACCATTTAGCCACTGTGCTGCCCATAACTTTACCAACACATGCGCACACGGGTAGCGCTGTATAACCTATGTAGCAACAGCTACATACAGTATACAGCAATGTGTTCCAGCAGCGGTATTGGGACTTCCTGTCCCACTCCTTGAACAAAATCATGGCAGGCTGAGTGCTGTCCAGTCATTCACAGGAAGCTTTTTATATTTTACAAATGAATGCAAGGTTTCCTTTGATTGGAGGTGGAGAGATGGACAGATGACGACACAATCTTCACCTTTGCCAATTAGAGGAAGCCTTGTATTCATTCATAAAAATACACGTTTTCCTGTGATTGGCCGAGCAGCGCTCAGCCAGTCTCAATTTTGTTCCAGAAACGGGATGGGGAAGTTCCTGTACCAAGGCTGGAACACAGTGCTGTGTACTGTACGTACAGTATGTTGATGCTACATACAGTTTATATAGCAGTCACATGTGTTAATGAAGGACTTGGTCCAAATAAACTATTTAAATTAAACCTGGAATTAGGCTTTAAGCTTTGAAAAGTGGAAAAATAGTAGCTGATTAGTTTCCAGGTTCGCTAAATTCCCCTCTTTGGTATTTTTGTTACTTGTTAATTTGAAACTAAAAATGATTGAAAAAAGAAAATGTGTACTAAGAACAATGTGGGGGCTGCTATTGCTATCCCTCCTTTTTTAAAAATGTTAGAAGCGCTGTCACTTTGCCCATTCAGACATGTTCCCCGCCACCTCTCCACTACAGCATCTCTGCCTGTTTATGCTCCAGAGTGGGCTAGTGTCGGAGCTTAGATAGGGGGATGATGTCATGTCACCCCCCACATGTTTGTGTGTGTGCTTAGACACTGGCTTCTCGTGCCTGACCACTGTCACATGAGGGAAGTCATGTTCTCACACACCCAACCCCCCCCCCCCCCCCCACCTACTTCATTGACAAGGGCTCTGACTGTGTGGTTAGCCAGTAACAGAGCTTAGCTGGATAAGTATAACACCTGGTCCCAGGACTGCTGTTAGAAACAACGAGGCCCCTTAGAGCCAATCTGACAGGGCCCCCTTAAAAAAAACAAAACTGTTTACTATGTATGTTATGAATTAACACAGTTAATGATCATTACTGTGCACTCATTGTGTTCATTCAGGAAAGGAAGGGGCTGGTTAATGTGAGATATTATTCGGACTGTTACCCCACTCTCCATCCTGAAGGATCTTATTGTGTGTTAGCAGCTGGAAAGAGAGGAGGGAAACCAGCACTGTGGGGGCCCAGGCAGCTGGGTGAATCAAACGTGCACAGGGAGGGTGATTGGCATTGTGGGCAGGAAGGGGGCGGGGCAATTACTGGAACCGGTCCCCTATATGGCTCTCTCTACAGCAGCTGAAAACCAGTGGGAAGGAGAGGAGAAGAATCCAGCTTTCAGATGCTGCAGAGAGAGCCATACAGAGGATCGATTCCAATAATTGACCCCCCCCCCACCCCCCACCGTACCGATCACCATCTCTGCCTACATCCGATTCACCCAGCTGCCTGGGCCCCGTGCAGAAGGGCTGGTTGTACCCCCTTATCCACGGCCCTGCCTGGTCCTGGTGGGGGGTAGGCTGAGTGCAGACATTGCCACTCTGTTCTTAATGTACTGAATTGAAAACATTCACACAAATTGGCACATAGGTTTTAAAATCTATAATCTTGTGTATACACTCATTTAGATTGTTAAATGCATTTTTGTAGTGTTATCCAGTTGTATTTATTGTCATTGTATTGTTTGTAGAACTCATCCACTTACTGGGAGGGGAAGGCTGACATGGAAACACTGCAAAGAATTTATGGAATTTCATTCCCTGACACCAAAATGCTAAAAAAGAATGGGAGAAGTTCCAAGAGGAGGCCAAGAACAGAGATCACCGGAAGATTGGAAGGGTAGGTTCTTAAAGGGAAAATCCTGCATGGTTTTCCACTCAAGTAGTTCATTTTCCTGCTCTGTGGTGCCAGCTGAGTGTACAGACTGAGAAAGGAACATCTGAGTAAAGCTATTTAGTTTGATTTTGAAGCTGGCAGATTGGGGTGCTGAAGACTACTTCTTTCATAAACGTCGGATAAACTTGCAACAGGTTTGCTGTGATGGCTAAAACTGAAGGCTTTCCCTTGTGCTGTCCTCCAATATGGTTCAGAAGACAATGATCAACCCAGTAGCCATCTTTCAATACAGCTCTTGTACAACCTCTTCTTTCATCCTGGCCTTTTAATATCTAAATGCCTGTATTGTGATCATATAAATCTTAAGTAGATTAAACACTGGTTAAAATAAATTATATATATATATATATATATATATATATATATATATATATATATATATATATATATATATATAATATGGATTTTCCCACTTTTATGGACAATCCACCCAAAAGCCACATGTTGTGATAGGTTGAGTGGGGTCATCCACTGACTCTTTATACCTCCTAAGGTGGGACCCCACTTCCACATGTCTTCCGCAGCAGCACATACTTTGCCTTCTCCTCCCTGCTGCTTTGCTTACCCATGGGGGGGGGGCAAAGAAAGCCAACCCTGAGTGGCTCTAGTTGGAGCCAACATGGGGCTGAGGATTCTTCTTGTCCTAAAGTAATAGCAGACACTGATCAGTGTTTTCTGTCCGTGGAAATTCCCTGCTATTAGAATACAATGTCCCAGCAGTGATGATTCCTTTATCGGCCTTTATTATGTGGATGGAGAATTCTGTTTTAGATTTTTTGTTTTCAATTGGTCCTCTGGATTATCAAAAAAAAAAAAAAATTACCTATGGCCGACTTAAGTTTGTTGGTCATACACAGTTCAAATGTTCACAGTTCAAAGTCACAGCTTAAAGTATACGTGAACCCTCACCATGTAAAAAAACAAGTCATTCAGTTCAATTAGAAATGAAAGGCAAAAGGTGTGTGTGTGTGTGTGTGTGTATGTATGTATATGTGTGTGTGTGTATATATGTATATATATATATATATATATATATATATATATATATATATATATATATATATATATATATATATATATATATATACACATATATATAAATGGTGCCAGCACAAGTCTTGGTCATTGGAGGACAGGCAGGCTGTTCTCCCAGCACAACCAGATATCGGACCAAACTGTAATGTGTGCGATGCTACGTCTAGTGTGGTTAATTCTGAAATAGGGAATCAGGAGGACTGGCAGGATCACCAGCTATTTCACACAAAGGAAGAAATGCAGGATACATTTGCAATACAAGAGCATATCAGAAATATGAAATGTTGGGGTAACATACACTTTAAAGTGTTCATATACCAGGTTATCTTGCCACTTGGCAGGAGAACAGTTGGAGTTTTTATGGAATTGGGGCTAACTGTGTATAATGAAATGCAGAATATTCAGGCATAACGGGTGAGACAGGCATCCAGGTTCTCTGGGGTACAATGGAAGTGCATCCTGAATTACTGACCATCTTAGAACTTACACTTGTGTTTCCTTGTATACAGGAGCAGGAGCTGTTTTTCTTTCATGAACTGAGTCCTGGAAGTTGTTTCTTTCTTCCCAAGGGAGCGTTCATCTATAACCAGCTGATTAACTTCATCAGGGTGAGTACTTCAAGGGCACTCATCACCTTTGCGTATTGGCAGCAGCCATGTTGTATATGAATTCTGTGCTTCCAAGACCATATTACTATTGACTAGTCAGCAGGCAGTGAGGCTAAACCTGAATCCAAGAATATATTGCTCCTTGTTTTTATTACTGGTATCTTTGGCACACTCCATGGAGGGCCAGTGAGCCAATGTTTGTGCATATTGTAAAAGGATTGCTGATTATTAGATATTTTTATATATTTCCTGATCTATATTCTCTGCTTAATCCACAGAGTTTCAAAGAAAGCACATCTAGTTGGTATCAGTTCTGACATTTTTTTATTTTCACATGATCACATTGAAATGGTTCAGATCACTTAATCAGCTCAGCATACGGGAACTATAAGGAACACCCATGAGCAGGCATTAAGAATTTTAATGTGCAGCTTTAAGGTGGTTGTAAACTCAGAATTTTTATTTTAATCTACAGTTTATAAGCTTATAATAAAGCTTACCTGTAGATTAAATGAATAACTCCTAAACGTACATCATTTAGCAGATATTATAGGGAGCAGGAGCCGGTAATTCCAGTCAAGCGGCCGCAGCGAAGACCGCGTGAAGATGGAAGCCTCTGCAGCGGTGACAGCTTGCCGCTGGATGGCTTTGTTTCAAGGTAAGTCTTTTATAATGTACTAGTATGTAATTCATATTAGCACATTATGCCTTTACCTTGCAGGGCTTGTTGTGTTTTTTTTTTTTTTGTTTTTTGTTTTTTTGTTTTTTTTTTTGTTTTTTTGTAACCTTTACTAACTCTCTAACTTCACCACCAGTGACTGAACTGGGATGGATGTGCTCTCCAGTCTAGCGTGGTCAGTTTACAATAGGAAAACAGGAACTGGCAGGATCACCAGGGATTTCACACAAAGAAAGCAATACAAAGAGGACTGGATACTTTTTAACAGAACAACACAGTAAAGCAGGAACATATCAGAAATATAAAATGTTGGGGTAATATATTCTTTAAAAGAGAAGTCTCTCACCTCACTGGAGTACTGGGCTGTGGAAGGGAGGGAGCAGCAGGCTCAGGCTCTCAGCGGCTCACTGAGAGCCTGAGCCAGGTGCCGCTCCAGACACGGGTGGATCCCAACATTCCCCAGCCTAGATTGGCTGAGTGACGTCAGCTGACATCAGGCTTCAGCCCGCTGTCAGCTGAAAATGGGTCACAGGAGTGCAGAACGAACTGCACGCCTGTGATTCACAGAAGTACAGCCAAAAGAACTTTGGTTGTACTTCTCCTTTATTGTTCTTTCATAAGCCTAAATATGACTGGGTTGTCCTAAGGTGCTGTTTGGAATTGTGCAACAACTGTGCAGTATAACGCTTCACCATTTTATTAGAAAATACAATTAAATCAAATGTATGTAATGAGTTTGTATGGTTTGTCTAAGGACACCTTGACTCACAAAATGTGACCAGCTCAGATTTGCATGTCAAGGCTTGATTTTACAGCAAACATATGACGAATGACATTTATTATTTTACAATGGACACTGGGCCATAAGCCGAAATTTTATTACAATTAAGACTGGGACAGAATTATTAAAGTTTAACTAAAGGCAAAACTTTTTTTGTTGGTTAATTTTAGAGTGCAGAGGAATTACAGTGCTTGTCTATTTTTATTGCTGTCTGTGCCCCTGTTAAAGCGGGGTTCTGGCCGTTTAATAAATTTTTTTCTAAAGGCACCCACGTGAGAGTGGCAGCTTTGGCAATGCAAGTTGAGATCACCTGTACTTGTAATACTTTGCTTTCCTTATAAAAAATAAATTTACTTACTGCACCCTCATATTGTGAACGCGGTCATCTTAAGTGTGGGCACCTGAAGTTCGCTCAGACATTCTTCAGGGAAATTGTGCAGCTGGCTACCCAGCATGCACTTCCCGTTTTCGCTTCTGCGCAGTGTGAAGCAGCGATCTCGCACCTGTGCAGTGTGAAGAAATCCCCGCGATCGCGTCACTTCCGGTCTCATAATAATGTGAGATTTTGGTATCGAGTATTCCCTAGGACTGCTGGGATAGATGACGCCGATATCCCAGAAGCCCTAGGGAATGCCTGATGATGTAATCGTCTAGGCAGCTGGGACCGGAAGTGGAGACAAAAATTATCAATAAAAGGTATTTAGGGAAAAAAAATAAATAAATATATATATATATGGACAAAATGGACTATGAAGAGGGAGACCATTGTCTTTCAAGGGAGAAAAAAAAAAAGACTGGAACTCCGCTTTAAGGAGATTCACCCTCTCTATTTGTCCTGTTTACTATTATCACTGAAAGTAAAAGAAAATTCCAACTTCCCAGAAAAGTAATAGAGGGGAAATTTTCCAAAGGGGACACTACTCCTGGTAACCTGGGGGGCCCCAAGGAATTCCCTTAATTTGCAGGGATTTCTTCTCACTTCATGTTTGGCTATGGGACAGGAAGTGGAGGGAAATTGCTGCAATGAGACAAAGATGACGAAAAAAAATTGACTGGGGTTATAAACCTCTCTTGCTCTATCCAGGGTGGAGAAAAAAAGTTTTGTCTGCAGTTCTATTTTAAAATTTATCTAAAGTCAATTTTTCAAAAATATTCGGATAGAGTAGGGGAGAGTTAAAATCTCCGTTTTTTGTTTTTGCCATCTGTGTCTCATACGGAACATTTCCCTTCACGTTTTGCCCTGTAGACTCAACAGGAAGTGAAAGGATATCTTTCCAATGTGAGATGGATCACCTCTTAGCTGTCAAAGGAACATGTGTCCTCATGAGAAGATTTCTCCTATATTCCTGCTCGGGTGGCAACTCAAAATATTTAAATTGCCCTCACTTTCATTCATTGATGACCAGGACTGTTACAGAGAGAATCTCCCTAATGGGGAAACGGACACCAATAAAAACCTGACAGATGGTCTAACCTCTCACCACTCTATGCAAATAAAAAAGGTTTGTTCTTAGTTATACTGTAAATGAATTCTAAACCTGGGGTACCCATACCGGCCAATTAGATTCTAGCTGCCACTTTGCCTGCAGGAATCCTAGGGAGGTACAGGTCCTTCTGTTCTGCCATCTTTACAAATCAGCTGTGTGTCCATAGGTGGTGACCACTATGGGTTAGTAAGTAGCACTGTGCTGAAGTGTGGTCTTCCCACCAACAATGCTATCTAAGTGGTGTTTCTGGCTTGTGTGTATAAGGAGTGCATTCCACGGTGCAAAAAATATACAGTCAGGGTGATCAGCTTCTGATCAATAATTATCTTTGTTTTGATCGTCTACCTTTCTTGTATTATCAGCAAGAGTACAGGAAGAGGGGCTTTCAAGAGGTGGTCACCCCCAACGTGTATAACAGCAAGCTGTGGCAGACATCCGGTCACTGGCAACATTACAGTGAAAACATGTTCTCTTTTGAAGTGGAGAAGGAGATCTTTGCACTGAAGCCCATGAACTGCCCAGGACACTGGTATGACTTACATAGTTTCCACTGGTACAAGCACTTAGCAGTGTGACATACCTTCTTGGTTAGCATGTAATTCAGAATTCCGAAAAAAAAAACAAAAACAAAAAAAAAACATAAATATAATGGCCCGCTGAAAGAAAATTTTTATAATAAAAGCAGCTTTGCCTACTATATTTACTTTGTATGGAGCTGCCCCTGCAGTAATTCAATTCATCCACTAGATGTCACCAGTCATCTAGACTTCATTAAGTCCAGAGTCATTCAACCCACCTATTTTGAGCCCAGGCCTCTCCACTGGGGATGCCCCGTGATGGCAGTCTGGACTGCACTACTGTATTAAAGTGATTGTAAAGCTGTTTTTCATTTTTTAAAAATTAAAACAACATGTCGTAATTACTTCTATGTACAATAGATTTGCACAGAGCAGCCTCAGTTCTCTTATTCTGGGGTCCTCTGCTCAGGGGCGGACTATTTGGAAACTCGGGCATTGCCTGGGGTCAGTAGGGGGCCCCATGAGATGCCCCTGGTACCTTTTTCATAGGCTTTTTTATGTTTGGCCAAGGACACAGGGGTCCCATGATCCCCTGTTGCCCGGAGGCCCCATGAGTTGTCAGTCCGCCTCTGCTGATGCTCCTGGTTACTCCTTTTCAGTGAGTGCCTCCATAGAAAACTACTTTTTATGGGGGCACTCCTCTGGACTTGATCCCGAGCCACCCTATCTGCATCTATAGACACAGACAGCATAGCTCGGTTCCACTTCCATGTCACAGAATTTGATTGACAGCAGCGGGAGCCAATGGCTCGCGCATTGCTATGCATCCAACAGCCACTGCTCTCATGCACAGCGCTGGATCAAAATTGGGCTCGGGTAAGTAAAGTGTGGTAGTGGTGGGGGGGATCCTGTAGCACAGAAGTTTTAGTTTTTTTCCCTAATGCATTGAATGCATTAGGCTGAAAAAAGTAAGGCTTTAGAACCACTTTAAAGAGTACCATAGTTCCATCCATCAGCCAGTCCCTTCATTACCACATGGAAGAAAAATCTATTTGAAATATATTTTAAAAATATTCTTCCCAAATATATTGACATGTATTGGAAATACTATAATTTTGGCCATATGCAATATATATTAAAAAAAAAAAATATATATGTATATATAATACATACACACTGTTTGTTGAAATGCATTTTTATTACAACATATATGAAACATTATTTTTAAAAATACATTTCAAATATTTTTAAAAATATATATATTTTTAAATATACTCTTCCGATTTTTTTTTAATATATAAAAAAAGTAATTTTAACATATATATATATTTTATTTTGTATGTTGAAATGCATTTTTATTACAAAATATATGAAAAATATTTTTAAAAATATATATATTTTTAAATATACTCTTCCGATTTTTTTTTTAATATATAAAAAAAGTAATTTTAACATATATATATATTTTATTTTGTATGTTGAAATGCATTTTTATTACAAAATATATGAAAAATATTTTTAAAAATTAATTTTCAAATATACTGTATGTCTTTAAACATACAAATCTACATTTTTGTAATGCATTTAATTAAATGTGTGTGTGTGTGTGTGTGTATATATATATATATATATATATATATATATAATATTTATTATTATTATACAGTATTTATATGGCGCCAAAGGGTATGCTCAGCGCTGTACAGTAGCAAGGGGGACAGAACATGAGACAAGACAGTAACAATACAATACACGAGGGGTTCGAGGGCCCTGCTTTTTCGAGCTAGGAGGGAGGGGAAGGTGGTACAGGAGGAAATGGCTGTGGGGGATGGAGTGGTTATTTAAATGCATTACAAAAATGTAGATTTGTATTTTTTTTAAGACATACAGTATATTTGAAAATTTATTTTTAAAAATATTTTTCATATATTTTGTAATAAAAATGCATTTCAACCTACAAAATATATTATATATATTTATTGAAATTTATTGAATATGGCCAAAATTGTTGCATTTCAAATATATGTCAATATTTTTGGGAAGAATATTTTTAAAATATATTTCAAATATATTTTTCTTCCATATGGGTTGCTACAGGATGTTAGATGTGATGATTCTTCAGGTGGCTGCAGCTTTTTCACAGAGCAAAAGAACTGACCACCAGAACATGAGCTTACAAGGTCTTCCTTTGCAGCTAGTGTGTGTTGTAATTTTTCAAAAACTCAAAATAGCAAGAGTATTTTCACTGCTGCCCGGTCCTCCATTATCCTCATCGCTGGCTGTAAGATAAGACCGTGAGTGCAGGGGAGCAATTTGTTCCTGCAGCTGTCTGGGAGGGAGATAAGATAAATACTTTATCATTGCAATGCAAATTACAATGAAATTCTATAAAGAACTCCACACATGTGAGACACATAACATCCTCAACATACACACATGTGACCATAACTAAACCTAAAAGGATCCCCTACCACAACAACAAGCCAAGTCACTTGGAGCTAAATAGTAGGAGCAGTGTCATGGCTTGCCAGGTCTGTGTGTTTCAATAGACCCACGCAGCCCTGGCCAGGAGCACGCATGCATGGTTGTATCCTTAGCAGATCTCTAGCTAAAAGACATACCCACAAGCAGGAGAGGGAGGCTGTGGCCTAGAGAAAAATTGCATTGTTGTCATTGTGTTTAAATTTAAGTTTTCCTAATTGCATAGCAAGTTCTGGAAGAGTCAAGCAGCCATACATGGAGTGAAATTTGTGCGGCTGAATTTCAATCCATAGATGGGGACAGTGGTTGTGCAGAAGTCGATCTACCAATAGACTTCTGTACAACCAGCTTGTCAGGTAAATGCCGCTCGCTTAGTGCCACCGGCTATACCATATACTGCATATCAGTGTCTTCTGATAGCGGGGAAGACTCACCTCTGTCTGATATAAAGTCGCAAAGAGGAGGATTCCCTCATCCACCTCAAATATGTGGATGTTGGAATCGAGTCATTTTTTTACGTTCAACCTGCTTGATCAGACATGGAGGCTTCAGTGTGAGGAGGGGGGGGAGGGCATTTGTCAGCACAAGCCTGAACATTGGATTAGCTCCCAGCACAGCCAGAAAACTGACCACGCTGTGCTCTCATGCCTATTGTGGTCAGGTTTTAATAGGAAAGCAGAGGGACTGGCAGTAACACCGAGGATTCCACACAAAGGAAGCAGTACAAAGAGAACAGGATACTTTTCCATACAAGTACATGGTAGAGCAGGAACATATCAGGAATAGGAAATGTTGGGTTTACATCTTCTTTTAACTAAATATTAGGTCATTATGGCATTCTTTTTATTGTTTGAAATCAACAGGAAATTTAATTTAATGTTTGTTTTTAGCTCCAAAATTTATGCTAAAGATTTTAGATAGAAGTATGTTTCTGAAGAGATAGAACTGGTGGCTGTTTTAATAGATCTCTGGGCTCCATTGGAAAGATTTTCCCTTATTTCCTGTCCTAGTGAGTGTTGTGACAAGAAGTGAAGGAAAATCTCCCCCAACAAAAGACTGCAATAAAAACACTTTTATTTAGTAGAGTAGAAGAAGGCTTGAAGCCCTATTGGCTGTCTGTGTTCTGTTGGAGATTTCCTTCACTCCTTGTTTTGGCCATAATCTTGTCACCAGAACAGGAATAAGAAATCTCAATGGAACTTCAGACCGCAATGAAAATCTTACAGAGGCACAAAGACTTCCCCACTGTATTCAAAACTGACAAACTTAGTTACACCACAATTCCTCCTTGGCATATCAGTTTTAGGGTTCCAAGATTTACCAAACTATGTTAAAGTGGTTGTAAACCTTGGACAGGAAATATGCCAGACATTAAATCATTTCTGTCTGCTGCTTCATTCCTCTGCTATTGGCATGAGTCACTTCTGACAGGTTTTCCTGACACCAAGAGAAAAATGGTGACAGGGGAGGAACCTGCAGCTGACTGACAACCTCAGCTCTGTTCCTGTGTGCTGTGTGAAGGGGGTGTATCCCTTCCCTCCAATCAGCTCTTATAACTCTCTTCACTGAGCTCCGCAGAGTGTGACTTCAACTCTCTGCCCCCTTTTTTCTTAATGCTCAGACAAGTGTTATAAATTCTGAACTTTGAACGGATGTAGAAGAGAGAAGACTGCAGATAGACAGGTACAACGTATGTATTATTATTATTATACAGTATTTATATAGCGCCAATAGTTTGCTCAGCGCTGTACATTCTAATGCGAGACAGTACACGAGACAGCACAGTAACAATACAATACACGAGGGGTTCGAGGGCCCTGCTCCTTGGAGCTTACAATCTAGGAGGATTAGTTTCATCTCTGTGTATCACCTGAGGCCAGTCACTTCACTGGCTATATATCCGGGTTTGCAACCACTTTAATAACTGTTTCTGAACGGCTATAAGATTCTCCTTTCCATTGGTGATTAGTACACACTGGGTCATGATGAAAAGAGAAACCTTATTCTTTGTTTTAGTTTGATGTTCGACCACCGGCCTCGTTCGTGGAGGGAGCTACCACTGAGAATGGCAGACTTTGGAGTTCTTCACCGCAATGAACTGTCTGGTGCCCTCACAGGACTGACTCGAGTCAGGCGCTTCCAACAAGATGATGCCCACATTTTCTGTGCCATGGAGCAGGTATGGCTTGGTTTTTGCACATGTGCTCTGTACCCAGGAATACCCATATAGGGATGCACATGGTCAGCAATGTCGGCAATCTGACAATGCTCAGTTGGTATTAAAGGAATAAATGTAGGGCAAAAAAAAATTTTCAAAACTGTTCCAGAATCACTCTCAGCCTAACACAAGATGTCATGGATCCGTAGATTCATGCTTTGTGTTCCAAATTCAAGTTGCAGCAGAAATTGAGGTTCTTAACACCAATCTTTAGTTGTCCATTGTTGGTGATCCCATGATCACTGGTTTTGACTTGACAGCTCTTCCTGTCTAAAAGGTTCAAAATGAGTGATCAGCGAAAGCCTTTTAGCACCACTGTTTGCCTATTTAAGGATGTACCTAATACGATGGCAAATGGGTGTATGTAATCCTATTGGGGAAGATTTACTAAAATGGAGCACTCAGAATCTGATGCAGCTGTGTATGGTGGCCAATCGGTTTCTAATGTCAGCTTGTTCAATTAAGCTTTGACAATAAAACCTGGAAGCTGATTGGTTTCTGTGCTGAGCTGCCACAGATTTTGCACCATGCAGTTTTAGTACAAAAAACCCCATTGCATAGCATTTCTCAAAGAGAGCGGTTTTTCTATTGGGCTAGAATAGGGGTTGGCAACCTGTGGCTCTTCAGCTGTTGTGGAACTAAATTTCCCATGAGGCACTGCAAAGACCGGAAGTTACAAGCATGACTCTACAGGTCCCATGAGACATTGCAAAACTGACAGTTACAGCTATGACTTGCAGAGGCACGATGGAACTTGTAGTCCTACAACAGCTGGAGAGCCGCAGGTTGCCCACCCCTGGGCTAGACATAGATTTTGGATATTATATTGAAGAGTAAGTTCACACAAAAATGTTATGTATGGGGCAGCCAAGTGGCCACCTCTTCTATCTTTTGGATAGTCCAACAAATTGGAGTACTCCCTGCCCAAATTCCTGACTGCTTCTGGGATCACCTGGGAGTTTAGGATGTTTAATTCCATTTCATAGTGTAAAGCAGCCATTCTCAACCAGGGTGCCCAGACACCCCAGGGTGCTTTGAGGTTTCTTCAGGGGTACATTGAGGTTTCTTTGGGGGTGCCTTGGCAACATGTCTAAAAATTGCCCAAAACTTCTATACAAACCAGCAAGTGGAACAAGCCTGCCTTTTAGTTACACAAAACCACAGATTTTCATTGTGCACCATTACGACCTTCTAGCCGCCAGTGTCCTGACAACCAATGACACCATCAGTTGATAAAGAGGATGTCAATTGCCTGCACAGCATCCTAGTTTGACCCTCCCCTGCCCCTCTCCATCAATCCTGGGGTCACATTAGCTCAGTGATGGAGGAAAAACTGAGGAAGAAGAGAAACATAGGAATACTAGTCAGTACCAGAGTGGAAAAGTGTATTTGCTTTGGAAGAATAAATCCCCTCTAATGTTGGGTGTCCTACATGTGTAGATGTTGCTACGTTATATAAAACTATTAGAATAGTTTTTCACATTTTAGAATGGGGTGTTCTTTTAAAATGATGGACAGTCTTGAGGCACCCCATTTTAGAACGGGGTGCCTCAAAACTGTCCATAATTTTAAAGGGTGCCTCAGGACTACCTATAATTTTAAAGGGAGCCTTGACTGAAAAAATGTTGAGAAACACTGGACTACAGCTCACCGTGCAGATTACAGTGTGACCATATAATCTCTGTAATCAATTTTACCAAAAGATTTACCAAAGCTATGCAATATGAGGAACTACCCAAGCTATCCAATCAAGCAGGCTCTTGCTATCCAATCAAGTAGTTGTTGGTAGATCTAAAGGAGCTGATACAATCAGATTGTAATATGTGTGGTGAGTTTTATTGCACCTGTACAGGGGACTACAAAAGGCTGTTATTAAGGCAGTATTAAACCCAAAAAGTAAAAATGTAATGTATTGCAATGTACCAATCCTTTAGATATGGTGGCTGCAGTAATTTTTTTTTTTTTTTCTTCAGGCTTTTATTTCAGGCTAGTGATCCAGCTAGCTTGGGATGTCTGCATTCTGGATGAAGTAGTAAAGCAGACACCACTGAATAGCAGCATTGTCAATCTGGGGGGGGGGGGGGGT